CATCATCAATGAAATAACAAAATACTTCTAAGGTCATCTGTCTCGATGGACAAAAGATAATCACATCTTGTCTCTCAAGGTCTCCATTTGTTCACAAGGAAATAATATACAGTACTTCTTTATTAACAGAGAAATTGTGATCAGCGTGATGGTATGACTCAACCCAATGTGGGATATAACTCCTGCACAGGAGAGAAGATTCCACATGGTGATTACAGAACAAATACCAATTGTGGAGGGTAAGCATGCTAAGCAGACAAAGAACAGTGTAAGAGTAGCTATAGTGCAAAGGAGGAAACATAAAGAACAGTCAGTTTTCTATCAACCTGGCTTCTGACAATGTGATTTAAGTTCATGAAAGCACCTGGCATAATGAAATATTTCAGAAGACAATCTAGGAACTTGCTTTGGATTTAATTATTAAGATTTTATACTCATATTGTTGTTTTCAAAATTATTGCAATAGACCACATAATACAAACATGAAACAGTAAAAAACCAAAATCAAACTAAAATGTAAATCTGTCATAATTACATGTAGGTAGGGCCAGTTTATTCTCAAGGCCCTCCAGAAAGTATTTGTCTGTTCTGATTGGTTGCACAATCAGCAAGATATTTAAACAGGATTTGACTTTTTTATTCACCTATTGAGTCCTTCCTAAGTACCATGGGATAGACAGGTGTTATTGTTTCATGGTATTAAAGGCATAATCACAGGATGAAGGCTGTTTTAAGTACAGCTGTCTTTTGTAGTTGACCAATTATGATTTTATCAGTGCCAAAGGTGTCCAAATAGTGCTCCAGTTGTTTTGGAATTGCATCTAAAGCACTTATCCCTTACTTTCTATTTACTTTGTGTTCCCTCCAGTTATTGTTTACAGGCAAACCATATTTCTTGAGATTTTCCAATGCACCATTGTTACTTTTTTTTTTAATGCCATTGTTTCTAGTCAGTCTATGGGAACTTCTTGTAGCAGCTATCTAGGTGGTTTACTGTTTCTTCAGCTTCTTTGCAGAGGTGGTATTTGCTGTCCATTGCTCTCTTCTCAATTCTGGCTTTGTGTACACTTGTTAAGATTTGGTTTTTGTGCAGCCAGAATTAGCTTCTCTGTCTCATTCTTCAGCTTTTCTGATTTTAGCCCTTGCCAAATCTTGTTATTTCCCATCTTTATTATGCAGCTCAAGGCTGTATACACAATGATCCTTTCTGTTACACTCCCCCCCCCAATAATATAACTTCCAGAAGGCTGACAATGAGGCTAACTGCTTAATTTCCAGCAGGAGGTAGTTCATAATTTGATGGCTGAAACTAAAAAAAAACCCTTCCAGTCACTTGTCTTTCTTCATCTTAAATTTTAAAGTTCTTGTTGGAACAACCACATTTTTATTGGAGAAGGCAGTTCTGAATATACCTCAATCCCACACCATATAGGATCTGTGTAGACTAATACCAGCACTTTGAATCATACCCAGAAAATTTATTGTTGACTGATACAGGGATGATAAAATGAGTCTTATATACAAGTCATGCCTTTAATTTGGTAATATACAGGTCACTGCATTTTGTATCCATTGGAGCTCCCAAGGGAAGCTTCAACCCCATGTGAAGAACATTGCAGTAATCCAATAGCAATAGCACTTATCCTTATATTTAGCTCCATAAGGCTTTACAGCCCTCTCTAAGCAGTTTATAGAGTCAAAGTATTGCTCCCAACAATCTGGGCCCTCATTTTACCAACCTTGGAAGGCTGGAAGGCTGAGTCAATCTCAAGCTCATCAGGATCAAATTCCAGACTGTGGGAAGAGTTAGCCTGCAATACTGCATCCTAACCACTGCACCACCCTTTCCCATTGATCAGGTAACTCCTCTCAGGTAAGAGCAGAACCAATGAAACACAGGACCCCAGTACCCAATCCTTACAGGTGAGCTTGGATTCATCAGTTTCCCTTCTCAGGCTATAAAGTGCAAGCTACAAATCCTTGGTAGACAAGACCAAGAAACCAATTCCTTGGGAAGGCTAAAACTATTTTACTGTTTTATATTGAGATTAGCTCTAATAACAGAACCTTGCAAGCCTGGATATGCTTTACTTCCTTCTCCTTTTTATACTTCACTGAATTAGGGAGGTGTTTTCCTGATCCACTACCAAATAGTTAACTCGGACTTTAACAAATCCTGCAGGCCCTTTTGCCTATGCAATAGTTTCTGCACATCTCTATCAAAGTCAAGTTACTTAGTCTCTATGTCAGCACAATCCTACTAATGCTAGCATCTGAAGCCAATTCTTTCCAATCATGCTAGAACATGCTGTGTTGATCATGATGCAATGTTGCACATATCTTGACCACATCAGCATTTGGCATCGGTGAGATCATCATTGGATATATGTTTACCATTAGCCCTAAGTCATTCTCAAAAAACTTAGATAAATGTACATATTATTTCTTCTAGGACAGGAGACTCTTCATATAGTGTAAATTGTCAAAAAGATCTTTTAAGAAACAGAAAGAAAAGTGGCGCTACCACTGACAGCAAGGTAAAAGTCTTTCCTGATATAAAAATGGAATAAATATTTATCACTGGTCAAAAACCTGTATTATTTGGACAATATAATTGTAGTAAGATTAGCAAAGATTGGTGTTTCATGTTTCCAGAGTTGGTACTGAAAAAATAGCATTTATGCTTAAGTACAAAACACCTTTAAAAATGGACACACAATTCTGTTCCATACATTGTAGAACAGTTTTATTGATACTGTCACTGTTGGGCAGAAGTGTTGCCCTCTAGTGGCAGGAATCAAAGCAGTTCTATCATCTATTCAATTATTGGATGTTCTGTCAAAGATGATCTCTTCACAGGATATCAGCTGGATACAAAGAATGCAGGTGTTGTTGGGTAGGTAGATTTATTGATCCATCTGGCCTTACTTGGTATATAATGCTCTGGGATAGTAATCTACAATCTGTTGTCTGATCAACAGGTGGCAGTTTTGAGTTTATAGCTAATTCAAGACATTTTAATCAAGCAAGTATGAAGATTAGCAGTTATCCCTTTGGTTGATAACTTTCTATATGTTTCATGATCTCTCCCACATTTGCATTCTTTGGTTTGCAAACAGCTGAATGACAGTTATTTTTAAGAGACTTGCTGTTGATAGAAATGCAGTCTTGTGTATAAATGTTGACAAAGCTGGCATATATTTGACAAACTGTAGGAAATAATATAACTCTTCAAATTATATTGCTGACTAGTTGAGGAATCAGAAAGCAAAGACATTGACAGTTTCCCCCTCTGAAAAGATAAAATTTTGTATCCACTAAATGTAACAGCTGTTTTAAAGATATAAACAAGCTTAACTCCATTTACAAAACAAAGTAATAACATTTCTATACATATTCTGTACTATTGTCCAAAAAATCTTTGAACTGAAAATCGCTGTTGGGGAAAGAAAGGCCATTAAAATTACTGATCAGAAATACTAGCAGTGAACTGTTAGGATGTGCAGGTGTGATATTGATGTATAATAAGTACAATAAAAAGTACTGTTGTATGTTTTTGTAGTTTTGTTATTTTGAGCTGCTCAGAGTTATCGTTTAAAAGAAGTGACTGTACACATCTTTTAACTATTTCAAAACTTCCAAATTACAACATAAAAGAAAATTCTAACAAAAATAATGGCCCTAAATAGGTAACCTCTGCTATTTAGAAGTTGTTGAACAATGACTCCCACTATATTTTACCATTAGACATGTCAGCTGGAACTGCTGGAAGATGAAACTAGGCAATATTTGGTGGTGCACAAGTTATTGGCCGTAAAGCATTTTAGTTTTTTTTTTTAAAAAAAAACTAATTTGGGGAACAAGATTTTGATGATTTTGATCATGCTAAGAACTCTTCATCTTAGATGTTCTCAGAATGATATATACAGATCACTTTTCTTTAACCACTTAGAGCAGAGATAAAGATGTTACACTATGTCATGTGAATTGAGCTTTCTTTACATGACTTCCATTCCCAACCCAATGCCTACTTTCACACAATGTATATTCTATGTGGAATTGTCAACCACATTGACCACCAGGAGGTGCTATGTGATTGATTTCATACTACTGGGGACTTTTTAGATGTAGGTAGACAGCAGGTTCTATCTATGGAATTCAAGCTCTCTACAAGGAATTGAAGACTATTAGTGTGAGACTACACTGGATAGGACTGCAAACTTGCTTTATAATAGACATATTTAGATGAGCTTATTTGTATGTACTAATTCCATTACTAATTGAGGCCAGTTGCAAGAACTACATTGCTATATCTGTCCTTAGAGCTGGTTTTCATTATTTCAGCAAATCTAAAAACAGGCCAATGCTTGGAATGATCCTAGGTTGTTTTTTGTTTTTCTTTTTAGCTGAATTGCATTATAGTTCTAGCCAACCTTAAAAAAAACAAGACTTCCTGCCAGGCTTTGTGGTCTCCTGTTTGTGGCACTGATGAAAAAACGTACAGCAATACATGTTTCCTGTGCTTAGCAATTGTGTAAGTATAAACATTATTTCCTGTTTTACTATAAAGGTAATTTGACTCATGTATGCCTTTGCAGTAGGTTATTAATTGTGTTTACATTATAGCAAGCTATCTAATATTTGATTGGTGATTTGCTATGACAAACACAGAAAAACATCAATTAAAATGAAAATAATGCAGGATAAATGAGATGCACTTACAAATATTATCTTGATCATTATGCCTTTGGAGACTTGTTTAATGACTGGTTAAGATAAAAGTTGTTTCATAATGAAGAAGTGTATATGGTATTTATTTTAAGGCAGAGAATTGCAAAGATGATCTTAAAAACTCTAAATTTAATAGTGCTGACAAGAAACAATGACTGTAGAAATGTAAAGACATCAGCTCATCTTGTGTATGGATCAGGAACAGATTCTAAAATCTTGATGCAAAATACCAAGCATCCGTACAGTGACGAGTGAACTTGACTTGACAAATTGTATCATCCACTGAATAATGAATGGTGATAGACAATCTGAAAGGTCTGCATGCCAAGTCTTTAAGTGTCAGGTAAATTTATCTGGGTTTTGCAGCACAAAAATGTTCTTCAAGTATAGAGACTGCACAGGCACTGTGGAAGTCCCTTTGTTTTAGCATCCAGCAATAAGCTTTCCAACAATATTCCTCATGAATAAATCCTCAAAACTGACAACTTTATTTCCTGAAAACCTTAAAGATATATTAGAGCGGTACTAAACAATGCTTGGGATTTCCCTTGTAATTTCATTGTTCTTACCATTAAATGTTAGTTATTCTGTTTTGCACATCAGTTGGTGGGAAGATAACAGCTTAAAAGCATAATTTAAAAGACTAATGAAATAAGATAACTTAAAGCAAACGAGGGAAGTCCTTGCAGCTCCTAGAGATAGAAGATTTTTGCCAATAATGAATTGTGTGTTTGATCTGGTCATAACATAGTCATACAAGTCAAAAGGCAGCAGTATGGGGCTTGTAGTTACTAGGGTGATCATCTTCCTTCCGAGATATGCTTGCTCTCTCAGATAACTTCACATTGTTTTAAATTAAAAAATAGCTAAAATGTGATACATGATGCTTGTTTTTGCAAGAAATATCAGCATTCTAGAATGGGATCTTCCAAAATTTGATGATCTTACAAACCTGGAGAAATTTAGAAAGGAAGAATCCAAATTGTCATGCTAGATTATGCACAACAGCCAAGGTTTATAATGGTTACTAAGCCATATATTAACTCAAGAGGGTGTAATTATCCCAATTCTCAATGCTTCAGCTGAGATTTGGAATATTCTCCACTTTTAAACTGACATTTTTGTGTCTTCTGTAAATATGAGTGTGTCTGTGAGTTTTATTTGTTCTACAACCTAACATAACCATAGACTTTTTGACTGATTATCATAATAATTAGCTGAGATGATCAAAACTGATAATAATAGCACTTAATATGCTAATAGTAACAGCACTTTGTATGTTGTTTACAGGAATGCCAAATATATCCCTGCAATAAAGCATGAAGGTGAATGTACAGAAGTCATTCATGAAACGGTAAGACTATAATTTTAATGATGGTGCCAGAACTAGGAATATAATGCTTGGCACGCTTGCTTGGAATCTAGAAGTAAATACTTAGTTCAGTTGAGTTTATTTCCCCAAAAATATGCAACAGATTGTCATGTTAAATATGTATGTTGGGTGTTAAGATGTTAGAGGTTTTAGAGATGGGTATAAAGAGAAGAACCATAACAGAGAAACTGATATCAAACTCATCTTTGAAGATGTATAGAATGAACTAGAGAACTCTAATTGAAAAACTTAATTACTCCTATGAGACTTCTCCAATCACCCTTGTGCAACTGAGCAAAGAGAAATCCTAGCATTCAACCTAGTAGTACTAAGGTTTGTAAACTATCATTGGGAGGGTTCTTGTTTGAATGTTTTTTCTCAGCTGTCCTGGAATTAGAGAGTATTTATGAAACAAGTAGCCCTAAATGTGAACACTAAAGGAAACATTAATTTAATTAAAGCAATTTGCTGTGATAGTAACAATAGATATAAAAAGATAAACGTTCAAGTGTCATTAAAACTTCAGATAATATCTACCTATGGTTCTTGTCATAGAGAATTCTTAAATAAGAAGAAATTGGGGGCGGGGGCGGGTTAGTGTGCTGAATTCAGCTTAAGGGATATCAAGAGTGAGGTCAGTTCCATTGTGTCCATCCAACATATTTTGCAAATTTGGAAAATAAAATGCAACAAGACTTTGGCAGAACTTAATATTTGAGTTATTTCATTTTATTCCACCTGTAAAAAGGTATGCACCTTTTTAGTGGTGGAATGAAATGGAATAACTAGACTTGTTGCATTTTATTTTCCAAATTTGCAAAATATGTTTAATGTGGTAAGACACAGAGAAGAATCAAATCTAGTTGGATTCCACAAGTTGCCCATACTAGTAATTTTCTTTAGATTGATTGCAGCAAGTATCCCCAAACCAGAGGACAAGTACTTTGCAAACTGAGCCCTCCAGAAGTTTGTGGCACTGATGGTGTGACATATAAGAATGAATGTGCACTCTGCAATCAAATTATGTGAGTATATACTTATACATCTCCGCCTTACCTATAGTCATCTTGGACAATTTTGTCTAGCTAAAAGACAAATGTATTTGCCTTTGGTTTTTCCAGTTGGAACAAATGATTACTGAAGAAAGGATTGATTTTTTTTTTGTTTCACAATTTTTACTCTTGCACCTTTAACCATTGTGCCAAATTACCACCACTCCTCCCCATCAAAAACAACCAGGAAGTATAATGATAGTTAAAAATGCAGTATATACATATAGAAACTCCAGTTACAACTATAGGAATAAGAAAGATAAATAGGGTATTGTATAAAGAAAAGTTAAATGGTTGAACATAGGAGGTATAATAGAATGTATGATGTTGATACAACCAGTATATCACGGTTGTAAAATTGAAGCTGTAAAATAAAATGAAAAAAGGTATAACAAAATTTTATTTAAAAACAACAACGAAGAAGTATATAAACCAATTACTGAAATTTCTCAGACTACTTTGTCTGATTTATTTCTGCATATAGTGTCTTTTCCTTTTAAGAAGTTATCATACACACTTATATTATTACCCTCCTTTGTTATCCTCATGCAGTTATAAGGACAATAATATAACTCAGATTTTCCAGATGAAAGAAGATGCTGTCATGATTTGTAAAAGACATGGTTAGTGGGGCAGAAAGAGTCATCAGAAAAAATACAACTGAAATGTTTGAACTAAATTAGGATAAAGTACACTTCTAAATTTGGATAGTGGATTAGAAGTTCCTCTTAATGCTAAATATCTTCTGGGAAAAGTTTGGGATATTGTTCAACTGATTTAAGCTGGATTTACATTTGTAGAAATAGCCATAATATTCACAATATTATTCAATTTTAAAGTTACTGGGGATTTATCTGTGATCTTTCTATCTCTACTTCGTTTTTCCAGGAAAACTAAATCTGAGATTGGCATACAGAATATAGGACCATGCCCCAAGGTTTGTTCTGCTCATTCAATATTGATTAATTCCAGAACAGTTTATAGTAATTAAGAATGTAGCATGCTCCTATTTATTATAGTTATAAAGCCAGAAATAACAGAATCAGTGATTGTATGATATATAGCTAATAAAAAGAGACTGAAAATTGTTTCTAAGAAAATGAAAAGTTTGTATATTTTATGATTTTTTTTAAAAAAAATGTTTTTAGAAGATTTCAATACACATTTTGTACAAACCAGTCTGTTCTACCATATTTAAAAAAGTAATAGTAAGTTACACAATATTGTTTGGAAGAGATTTCTTCATATGCACATATCTATTGTGAATCCAAATAATCATAATTAGTTTTATAAACAACAACTTAGAAATATATTATTTTGTGGACAAATGGTTAGTGCTAAATTCCTTCTGTTTTCTCCAGAGGAAACTGTGAAGAACTGACATTCAACAAAACTGTTACAACTCAAGTGGTATCAAATCAGTCTTCATCCTATATTTAAAAAGAATATGACAAGCTTATAAGAAAAGGACAATAACCATTACATTGGGTGGAAATGAGAAGACATTGTCCAAAGTTCTATTTCAAGTTATCAGATCTACTCAAGTCAGTGGTTTCATTCTCATGACTACCACAGACTTGCTTGAGTATTTTTTCACATTAATAAATCTCATTATTCCTATTCAATAACGTAAACAAGGAAGTTCTCTATCATTTTTATTTTTGTCCATATTTTCCAGGCAAATGTCATTACTTTTTCTTCAGTTATTGTTTTTAATAAATTGTTCATGTAAACTTAATTTAGTGCAAATGTATAGGTGTTAAGAATCCCATTTAGCATTTGAACACACATATAATATCACATCAGTCCAAATGTTGAACTGATGTGCTATACATATCAAGCTATCAGTGTGCATGCACTCTCTCTCTCTCTCTCTCTCTCACACACACACACACACAAATATGTTATGTCTCCTCTTGGAAATTCAAACGAACAAACAGAAAGCAGCCGTTTCACAATCAAATCAAACTGAAGGAAATAACAAGATAACGGCTGGCAGAAACTGTTAGGACTCCCCTTCGAAATTCAAACAAACAGAGAGCTCTTTGCAGTAACGTCCTCATTCAAAATAGTCATTTTGTTCCTGGCGAAAAGCACCAGCTCAGCTGTGTCCTTTTATACCCATTAAGGCAACGTGCTAATTATCTGGCTTGCCCTTCAGATTAACGTTTCCTGGTTCTGACGTCAATCCACGATCTAACAGTCATCAGAGTCAAAACTCCCAACAGGACCGATCCTTCCAATCACAACACAAATATATGTAGTCTAATCGGTATGCTATCATCTGCCTGCTTCAAATAAAGGAGTAACATAAATTAGGACATTCGTGTTGACTTGGTGTCACCCAGATTAACAAGATTCACATCCCAACTGGAGAAATCAGGACAATCTGACAATAGATAGGCTACTGGAACAAAACCACATACATGGATGAGACAAGAGAACCTGGTATTGATGCAGTGTTCTTACAACAGTGCTACTACAACAGTAGACTTAATGAGAGGGATTTATGAAATGTATGAGGGAATTATGGATATACAGAAGATCCACACATGCTGAGAAGCAGCATTTACCCAGCATTTCAGTATAGGGAAAAGGAAACTAGTCTCACAACATGAGATTGTACATAAGGCCATGGAGAAATGGAGCCAAGATCCTATGGAACTTCCAAATCCAGACAGACAGGCAGGTATTAGCCAATTCACCAGACATTGTGGAAGCAGACAAGGATTGGAGACAGTGGTGGCAATAGATATAAGGGTACCAAGTGACAGCAATACCAGAAAGAAGAGTATGAAAAACTGCAGAAGTACCAGAGTCTGAAGGAGAAGAGATAAGGAAAGAAAAGGCCAAAGCAATCTCAATGGCAGCAGCACTCAGGGCTGTGATTCAGGGCTGGGAAAGTGGCTCAAATAGATGGTCTCAGAATGATATCAGAGCTCTGGGTCCAGAAGAATGCAATGCTAGGAAGAGTTAGATACTTCACAGAACCCTTAAACTCCCAGACCTCTGTTTAAAGACCAAGATTGAGGAAGATACTTACAACCCATAGGAGTGAAAAGGAATATTTTCAACTTCCTTCTCTTCCTTTCCTATTATTGAATGTGTCTTAAATCAATAATAATGAAGTTAAATTGTGTGGCTAATATTTCAGTATTTAATTTATAATCTAAATTAAGCAATGAACAAGGAAATTCTTATGAATTCTTACGAGGCTTAAAAAAGAAAATTCCAAACAAGAATGTTCAAATTATTCATATTTGTTCTCTTCATATTTGTCTCTTTCTTCTTCTCTTCTCCTTTTTACTGACTGCTGCAATAAAAGCTCTGCTATCCCAAACTTGGGGAGAGCCAATAGGTGCTGGGTAGCAGCCATCTGTGAAACGTGCATATATTTGTGGAAATAATGCAAGGGATTGGGTAATGTTTAAAGCCAATTGCCGGCCATTAACACCCAAATCAACCAATAGGAAGGCACCACATAAATACAACTCATAGAATAGCCAAAGCATATATTCCAATGGAGAGACATTCCCTGAATATAGGCTTCAGCATGAGTCCAAAAGCTCAGAAGAGTAAACTTCTGGTCCTGGTGACCGTCCTAGATCGGATCTTGCAATGTTTAAAGTTCTTTAATAGGGAAACCTGACATTCAGGAGTCAACAAGTCTCACACCAAGCACATTTGGAAAAGAACAGGCAACGTTGGTATTTCTCTATCAACGTTAGAAGTCTTTAAACCATGACTACAGAATCAGAGTATTTGCCTGAAAAATGAAAACATTAAATATAGTTGATATAGCAGACCTTGGTGAAAGACCTCTCACTTGGACCATTGCAATGTGCTCTACATGGGGCTGCCCCTAAGGATCATTTGGACATTTCAGCTGGTACAGAATTCATCTGCCTGGTTGTAAATGGTGTCGGTTACTCCACTATTGTTTCAGGGGCTGCATTGATTGATTGTATATTTTCAGGTGTAATAAAAGTTTAAAGCCATTCATGTTGTGCAACTGTGTTAACTGAGGGAGTGTCCTTTTTCCCAATTATTTCTACCAGTCTAATCTGGTCCAGCAGGATGGACATGCTCCTGGTCACATTACAGCTGGCAGGTATTAGGAGGAATACCTTTTCTGTCTCCGGAATACCCTTCTCCCAGGGATTAGGATGGATCTGACCCTGCTGGCCTTATGCCATCCAGACATTAATAAGCAGAACAGTAGAAAGATAATTTATCTTGATTCCTGGAAGAAGTAAAGTGAAATAAAAGTAATTTGAATTTTGTGATAAAGACAAAGATAATTTGAAGCCAGGAGTGTAATGTGCATGCTATTCTTTTGTACCTCAAACCTCATTGTGGATGCAGCAAGGGGCAAATTTCCCCCCTTTTCTCTTCAGCGAGAGAAGTGCTGTGTCTCAAGTTACAGCTCCTAACTCAGAAAGAACCAATTTGCAAAACAAAGGGAGGAGCCAGGTATGACCCATGTACCCATGTCTTCCCTCAGTTACTACCTACAAACTCCTTTCAAATGCAGATGAAGAGTCAAAAGTAGTATCTTCTTGTGTTCTAAAAGAAAAGCTAAATATGCTCTGCTCATTCAAACTGAAAAGCTTAGCATTTCTTAAGCTCTATGCTCCAGCTCAGAGGCAATAAAAGAAGCCTTTCCAGCTATTTTTACAACCACTCTGGCCATTTTATTGGGGGTCATAATTCATTAGTTGAAGGACCATCTTCAAAGCAAAGGAGCCCATTCCCCCCCTCCCAAGACACAAAGCTAATTCAAGCAACTATATGAACAAAGGAGCAATTTCTTTTTTGCTTAAAAAACCTAGAGTTTATCCATCTTTACTAAAAATTGTAAAAGTATAACTCTGCATGCAGCCTTTGGAGTGCTGTATTCATTTGATGAATTTCTCTTCCAGCGAGGAAGCAATAAATTCCTTTGGGGCTCACCCCCTACAGACTTAAGCAAAGCAGCCCACAGCACTATCTGGTGGTCTAGGAGAAATTTCCCAGAGAATTCAAAGACTTGTCTGCAAATTTTTATAAGAACTTGTTTACAAATTTTTATAAAAACTATAGGAAGTTCCCCAAATTTAACCAATGTTTAACCAATGAAAATTCCTTTTTTTAATTATTGTGGTAACATTAAGCAACTTAATGCAAGGTTCCAGTACTACCTGCAGCCTAACCTGTGCTTAGCAACAGTGTCTTCCAGACCTAGCAAGCAACACTAACAGGCAAACCTGCGTTTTGCTCTCATGTCTCCAGACTCAGCAACAATGCCTCCTATTGTGACAATTTGTGTAGCAAGCAACACTAACAGCTGCTTCCTGGTGAAGAACTTAAATTTCTGTTGGCATGGCTAGAACCATGGTCTAGCTACATGGTGAAACACATTTACACAGGCATACTTAATGACCCAGGCACCGCTCTAAAATGAATGTGGGATGCTTTGGACCGGAAATATGGTGAGGACACATTGATGGAATACTCGCTCCTAGAATGACTTTAGTTTCCTGTGTATCGCCATCCACAAAACTCGAAGACTAGAGGACTTTTCCAATATCCTTATGGAGCTGCAAACAGCCAAAGAATGTTCTGACTTACCAGGACTGGCTTGCCTTGATCTCTTCTTAACGCAAGAAATAATCATCGCCAAACTCCCAAAAGAAATATTAGAATGATGGATTATTTTGTCTGATGCCTTTCTGGCTGCAAACCGCAAAAGAGAACCACCCTTTGCCCTTCTCCAAGAATTTGTTGTCTGGCAAACAGAGTACTGCAACAGCTTCAGAAACCTCAGATGCAGATTCTTCCCAACTAACAAAAAACACAACCGAAACTGCACCTGCAAATCACTACAGATCACAACCACAATAACACACGTGACACAGAGGTTGCTACCTCCTCCATAAACAGTTCGGGAGAGGACTCATCAGATACAACCCAATTTAGATCTCTGACTACAAAGAGAAGCCAGTTTTGTCCTTTGCACCACACTCGACACTTGCTGAACAGGTGCCAGGGGTTTGCAGAGAAATCCCTAACCAAAAGGAAAGAGTTGATAAAAGAGCTCCAATTCTGCAACAAGTGTTGCGAATCCAAACACTCACCCAAATACTACACAGCCAAAGTGCAATGTCATATCTGCAAAAGTGACATGCATCCAACCGCACTGCATCCAGACAACGATCCACCACTGCAGACATCTCGTAACCCTCCTTTGCACAAGGAGCCTCAGCGTGCTACAGAAGCACAGCCAGAGCCAATGTCAATTGCATAGCAGTGTGCGATGGCACACCAGCCCCTCGCTCATGTCATCAGATCTGCTTAGCCAAAGTCTACCCAGATGGATGCCCAGGAGAAACAGTGAAGATGTACGTAATACTGGATCCTCAGAGCGATCGGTCACTAGCCAGGTCTGCATTCTTTGACCTCTTTGATGTTCAGAAGGAAGAAGTGCACTTCACGATATCAACGTGCACCGCACCAAGACGCACAGCAGGGAGGGAAGCTACTGGACTCTGTATAGAGTCATTAGATGGAAGTTCCCAGTTCCTACTGCCACCCGTGTTGGAATGGAATGGGATACCAGATGACCACAGCCACATTGCAACACCAGAAGTAGCTAGCAGCATACCTCACCTGAAGCATATGGCTCATCCATTTCCTGTCCTAGATCTTGAAGCCAAGATTTTGCTCTTGCTGGGATTCAATGCCCCTGATGCCCTAATGCACACTGAAGTAGTCAGAGGCCCGAGATATTCCCCCTTTGCCTTCAAGACAGACGTGGGTTGGGGAATCTCAAGACTTGTCAGTGTCGATCGGATGCAGGCCCCAACCCAGGCAGATGCCTTAGCACCATCCATTCCGAAAGCCTTCTGATGCCCTTTAGCACCATCGAAAACAAGAACGCCATTCCATCCTAAAAGGCCACCAGTGACCAGTACACTTTCCTTAGGATACCTTGAAATTGAAATGAGCCTCCTTGGTGCTGGCCCTGCAAGTCTATCATATTAAACCTAATTGTGGTGTTTATGTTGCATTCAGAAGCCTGACAGCCCATGGATAAAAGCTATTTTTCAGCCTATTCGTTTGGCTCATCACCCTCTGCCTTTTTGTCTGCAGCTGTCAAGCCAGCATACCATACCATAACACAATATGTAAGGGTGCTATCTGTCATAGTCCGGTAAAAGAAAGTCATCAGTTGTTGTTCCACCTGATATTTCCGCAAGACCCTAAGGAAATGGAGAGAGGGAGAGAGAGGTGGCTGGCTTCATCCACTTGTACCAGATGCATCAATGGAGCTAACTAACCCCACCACACACCGCTTCGACAGAAATGGCAAATCCGATAAAAGCAAAGGTAGAGGACTTTATATTTACACACATCATAACTGGTATATTAACAGTAGAGCTAGTTATACACACTGTTCTCTGGGTGTAGAATTCTTAACTGTAATTTGTTGGCCATTTTATTTACCTAGAGAGATTGTCATTATAGTTATCGCCACTGTCCTTGTCTCTCTGTGTCTCATCTCTCTCACCTCTCTCTCTCTTTCTCTCTCATATCTTTATCTCCCTCTCTCATCTCTCTCTTTTTCTCCCTCTCCCTCCCTCTCATCTCTACACCACAAGCCAAGCAAATACCTGGGCACAAACAGACCCCCCCCCCCGATACCTCCAGCTCAAACACCCCAACCAGGCACCCGGATGAAACCTAGCTTCCTAATAAATGATATCCGTCCATTTACTCAGAGCCAAGCCGCACTAAAAGCCTCCAATATAGGAAACACAATGTTGCCAGCCATTCAATCAAGACAAAAAAGATGCTACAAAACAGACAGAAGATATTAGAAACACCAATCAAGCAGAACACAGCAAACTCCAAGACCAATAAATAACAGACCAACACTCCCAACCAATCAGGATGAAGAAAAAAACCATTCTGGCACAGCAGTAGGCTAGCACCAAATTTAAAACAGAAACAGCTGTGAAAGCCCAACTCACACATGAACACAATACAGAAGCCTGATGATGGCAGATGAGATTCTGCCAAAATGTTGCTTCAACTTTAAAAGCACAACTGTAATGACATGGGAAAATACCCAAACAAAGCTGAATACTATATATATATATATAGTCAGAAACCTCAGACGCAGAGCCTCAGAAAACATAACCTCAGAAAACATATATATATGTGTGTGTGTGTGTGTGTGTGTGTGTCTGTGTGTCTGTGTGTGTCTGTGTGTCTGTGTGTGTCTGTGTGTGTCTGTGTGTCTGTGTGTCTGTGTGTCTGTGTCTGTGTCTGTGTGTCTGTGTGTTTTCTTAAGTTTTCGTGGATATCTATCTATCTACAAAAATTAAAATGAAAATAAAAAAATCTTTGTAAAAATTAAATCCATGGAGGGACCCAATAAACAAGAAAAGGAATACAAAGTTAATGCAACAGTAGTGTTAAAAAAGGGAATGAAGAGGGGAAAAAGAGAAAAGTAAGGTATTATGAAAAATGAAAGTGAAGGAAAAGTGAAGGAATATTTCTGTCCTTCACTCTGCTTCTGCTTTTTTCAGATACATTCAAGAAAATGGAAACTTCATAGAAAACATTACACATCCCTTGTGGATAGTAATAATAGTAATAATACTTTATTTGCCTTCACAGACACAAGTACAACAAAAGAAGAACATGGGAAAATTAATCATGAACAATTGGTCACCAAAAACTTGACTAAGGGGAATTACAGCATTCTCCTCGGATGGTTACAGCTCTTAAAAAAAATTGGAAACTTGAGAAGTGATCTATGAGGAGCCATCCCTTAGACAATATAAGAACAAATTACTAACATTGGGTCTAGAAGGGTCTGTTTCAAGGAGAGACAGTAACTTAAATCTGCCTGTGTTATACATAGGGCAATATAAAAGGACATGCTCCACAGTTTCAACCTCAGCTCTGTCACAGGGGCATAGCTGCTTAAATCGCCCATCCAGTAGTGCTGAGGGCAAGACATTAAAGCGAGCTAGGGAGAAAGTTCTTCTATACTTGGGAATGGTTAGTGTAAAAATAGGAAGCCATCCTCAGTCCGTAATTATTAAATTGGCTGAAGATCAGAGAGGAGCAAGTTTTGTTAGCTCTGGCTCGTAGATATTGCAAGTCAATGTCCACAAGCTGTTGGACTACCCTAAATTGGGCATCCTTAAGGCCATAATCTCCCAGGGCATCCCCGTAAAACCTAGCAGGTGTAATTTCTTCATCAGCTCCCTCTCCCAATGAGAAATATGAGAGCCAGCAAATGCCAGGGAGAGGTAGCTACCAGGAACTGCCAGAAAGAGCACCCAAAACCATCATTTAAAGGTGTTAATCTAGGCCATATATTCAACTGATCAAGTGCCCAGTTCCAGGTACATCAGAGCAAAACCAAAACAAGGAGGAAGACCCAGAAGTTTTCTAAGAAAGACAGCCTGGGTTCTTTCAATACAATCCTTGAAGCCCCGTATCCATATGGGAATTCCGTAAAGAGTTTGAGCCAAAGTTTTGGCTTTGTAAATACACAGAGCAGAAGGAATAAACTGGCCTCCTTGGGTATAAAAAAACCTTAAAATCTGCTGGTGACTACAGAAGGCCGAATTCAGCACCTGGGTTCGATGTCTAGTCCAAGCACTGGTGTTCTGAAATTGAATACCTAAATACTTAAAATGGAAAACCTGCTCAACAGCATTACCATTGATAGTCCAGTTATACAATTTCTGGGCTCTAGAGAATACCAATAC